TCTCAAGGCCCAGATTGTTTCACTGGAAAAGTCTACCAAACATTTAAAGGAGGAACAACTCTACTCAATGTCTTCCAGAAAACAGAAGAGAAGGGAGTATTTTCCAACTCATCTCATGAGGTCAGGTATCAGGGGTAAAATCTGACAGCCATTGCCACTCTACTCATGAAATTTAAAGTCTAAGGAGAAGATAAGCATTTATAGTCAAGTGCAGTCAGTGCTACAAGGGGAAACAGGGTACTATAGGAGCCTGGCAGGGGCATCTAACTCTATCCTGGCTGGGGTTGAGATCAAGGAAGCCTTCAGGATTAGTTTTAGATGTTGACAAAGTCAGGAACACAGCCACTGAAAAATGAAGATGTGCAAATGCCAGAAGAAATAGCTAGAAGAGCCCAGAGTAACTGCCTCTGGGATGAGAGGCTAGGGTAAAGGAGAATGAATAAGTGGGAAAGAGAGCCACAGTATCTTAAAGCAAAACTTTTACCGCTATTAAATTTTTTAAACCATATGCGTTACCATGATAAAATACAACCAAACTTCACAGAATAATGTGGAAGCACAACTTCCAGTCAACATCTATTTCTCCCTGCTCCTCTCACCTCAGTCCATCTATAAACCTTGGAAATAAAGCAGGAACCAAGCAAAAGAGACCTCTGGAAGGCAGTAAGAAAGCAGCAGTGAGAGGAAGAGAGTCAGGATGGTTTGCAACCCAGGAGTGGAGGAACACAGCAGCAGGATGTCTTACATACCCCCACCCAAGAGAAGGAAGGACACAGGTGCAGGGTTTCCTAACCTCCAACCGAGCAAGAGAAGGCAGCCCAGGAAGGTCATTCCTCCCCTAGATAGGACGACAGTCTACTACCACCAGCAAAAGAGATCAACAAGTGGTCACAGGAAGCAGCATCCTTCCCCAGGGCCTGAGACTCCCCTGGGACACGGGGACATCTGGGCAGCACTACTTAGGGGGACCTCACCGCAACAAGAGGTCAGAGACCTCAAGAACCTTCTGTGTCCCCACAGGCCTGAGATTCCCCTCTCGCTAGGGGAGCAGCCAGGCAGCACTGACAAGTGCAACCCCACCAGAGAAGCAGCCAGCCTAGGAAACTGTTTCTCTCCATGGCTCGAAGTCCCCTCCCTGTCCTAAGACACTAGAGCAGCAGGAGGCCACACCAAGAGGGATCTGGCCACAGAGGTGCTGAGATTCCTCTCCTACCCAGACACACCAGGGTAGCCAGGGGGCACATACAGAGGGTCATACAGCCACAACCACTGCCCAGCTAATGAAGCCTCCTCATCCACATGGGATGACACTTTCATCTCTTACTAAGAGACATCAGCCTGGGAAAATCCCTTCTTCCCCTCAGTTGCACAAGCAGAGACAAGAAAAAGCCCCAGCAGCACCACATAAACCAAAGAAAACAAAGATCACAGCACAAAGGCCCTGAACATTAAACTGTCACTGGAACCACAGCCTACAAAGGTAAGCCAGAATCTATGTGCTAAATCTAAACAGGCAACTACCTGCTAAAGCTAAAGACCCAAATAGGAACCACAGGCTCCTGACGTAAGAGACAAAATGTTCAGGGCCAGCCCCGTGGCCAAGTGGTTAAGTTTGCACACTCTGCTTCGGCAGCCCAGGGTTTCGCCAGTTCAGATCCTGGGTGGGGACATGGCACCGCTCATCGAGCCATGCTGAGGCGGCATCCCACATGTCACAACTAGAAGGACCCACAATTAAAAATATACAACTATGTACCGGGGGGCTTTGGGGAGAAAAAAGAAAAATAAAATCTTTAAAAAAAATAAAAATAAAAGAGACAAAATGTCCAGAAGACAGTTGAAAACCACTGGTCATACCAAGGACCAGAACATTCACAGTGTGAATAAGACAATCAACTGACACCAAAACTAAGATTAAATCAGACACTAGAATTATAGCAAGCATTTCAAGCAACAAACATAAAAATGCTTCAACTATCAATTACAAAGTCTCTTGAAACAAAGAGAGATTATAAAACTAAAAAATACAGCAAGAGAAATAAAATCTCACTCAATGAGATCAATGGTAGAGTGAAGATCACAGAGGACAGAATCAGGGAACTTGAGAACAAATCAAAAGAATTTACACAATCTGAACAAAACAGAGAAAAGAAACTGAAAGAAAAAAAAAAGAACCTAAAAGAATTATGTAACACTAACAAAACATCCAACATTTGTATTACTGGAGTCCCCAACGTAAGGAGAAAGAGAGTGGAAACAAGGGTACTTGAAGAAACAATGGCTAAAAACTCCCTAAATTTAGTGAAACAAAAACGAACAGATTCAACAAAAAGCTTAGTGAATGACAAAAAAGATAAACCCAAAGAAATGTACACCAAGATACATCATAATTAAACTTCTAAAAACTAAAGACAACAAAAAAACTCGAAAGCAGCCAGAGAGGAAAGACCCATCGCCTATCAGGGAACACTGATTCAAATGACAGTGACTTCTAATCAGAACCCATGCGGGCCGGAAGGAAGTGGAACAACAGTCTCCAAGTGCTAAGAAGCACCAGCCGGGAATCCTACATTCAATAAAACTGTCCTTCAGGAATGAAGGAGAAATAAAGACTTTTTAAGATGAAAGAAATCTCAAGGTTGGCTAAAGGAAGTTCTTCAAAAAGAAAGACTCTTGTACCATCAGGAAGGAAGGAAGGAAGAACAGAAAGAGCAAGAATACGGGCACGTACAATAAACTGTCCTGACCATGATCTGCACACATCAAAGTATAACACCATCTGATACTCAGGACACCACATTTAAAGACGGTGAGGATGGGGCCAGCCAGGTGGCATAGTGGTTAAGTGGGCACGTTCCGCTTTGGGGCCCAGGGTTTGCCAGTTCGGATCCTGGGTGCGGACACGGCACCACTTGACAAGCCATGCTGTGGTAGGCGTCCCACGTATAAAGTAGAGCAAGAGGGGCATGGATGTTAGCTCAGGGCCAGTCTTCCTCAACAAAAAGAGGAGGATGGACAGCAGATGTTAGCTCAGGGCTAATCTTCCTCAAAAAAAAATAAACACTGTAGAGGGCCCGCCCTGTGGCCAAGTGGTTAAAGTTCCATGCTCTCCACTTCAGCAGCCTAGGTCCACAGGTTCGGATCCCAGGCAAGGACCTACTCCACTCACCAGCCACGCTGTAGAAATGCCCCATGTACAAAAAAAGAGGACTGGCACAGATGTTAGTTCAGGACCAATCTTCCTCAGCCAAATAACAAAACAAAACAAAACTGTAGAGATCAAAAAAGTATTCAAGTAACCCAAAAGAAAGTAAGAAGAGAAAAAGAGGAATGAGAATCAGAAGAAACAGAAAACAGATGATAAAATGGCACACTTAAGTGCTAACATATCAATAGTTGCCTTAAACATAAATGGTCTAAACACACCAATCAAATGACAGAGACTGACAGAGTGTGTGAGGGGAAAACACAATCCAACAAGAAACACTACAAATTCAACACAGATTGAAACCTAACACTATGCAAACACTAACCCACAAAAAGCAGGAGTGGCCACATGAGTGTCCACTGAAGTAGACTTCGGAGCAGGAAAACTACCCAGGACAAGAACAGAGACGACCCACCCTGAAGACAAGGCATCCTAAACACACACGTACAATGACAGAGCCTCAACATCCAGGAGGAACTGATCTGCAAATTTTAACGGAAACCTACTGAGAAATAGATGGCGTATTTCCAAATAACGATCTCCTAAAATCAATCGCTCAGAGAATTACTAACGCAATTACTCTCATAGGGAACACCGGGAGGAAAGAAGTGGCACTTCTGAAGAACCCACTTCCCACCAAACACTAAAAACGGGCACCTACTGGGGCCGGCCTGGTGGCGAGTGGTTAAGTTTGTGCTCTCCCTTCCCCGGCCTGGGGGTCACAGGTCGGAGAGCGGACCCACACACCGCCCATCAAGAGACGCTGGGGTGGCGTCCCATATACCAAAAAAAAAGGAGGAAGACTGCCATAGGTGTTAGCTCAGGGACAATCCCCCTGACACAGAAAGAGGAAGGCTGGCAACAGGCGTTAGCTCAGGGACAACCTTCCTCACCAGAAAGATAAAAATAAAATTTTTTTTAAAAGGCACCTAAGTTCCCCTGTAACGCTCAGTAATCCCATTAAAAAAAAATATTGTCCCCTATTTTACAGCTGAGGAAATTAGGGAGCACAGTTTAAATAAGTTACTTAAGATCAAACGACTAGTAAGCAAATGAACCGACATGCAATTCAGCTCTACAGCGCTGTCCTACGGACTCCTTTGAACACGTTAGACCCTCTCAAATAGCCCAAACCAAAAATTATTCTAAAAACTCGAATTCTAAAATTCTGAAAACTAGATTTCGTATATTGAAATGTGTATTTTTTTCCCAAGTTTTAAAGGTTAACTGCTTCTGCAAATCCTCAGGAATAAAACTTTAGTAATCATAAAGGGCAATATCTCCCCTTTTGATGTTTCTTTTTCTCATTACATAAAACGTAGTATTCTCCGCGTGAGAAATAAGTTGAACTGAGCTGAAACCAACCAGATAGGAGACTTCCACTCTAAAGCAAAGGGCCGAGCATTTTGACCTCCCCCTAAACCCACCGTAGCCCATTACACGACGCAGCCTTTCCGACCTCCGCCCCGGCCCTAAAAGGGCACAGCGCGTCGGCCGCGGGCGCCGCGGAAGCTCCGGGCTCAGCGAGAAGCGCCCCGCGCCCGTGACGCCGACTAGGAGCGGCACCTGCCGTCCTCACGGTCTACGCCGCACGGGAGGCGCCGGGCCCCGCGGTCGCTGCGGGACGCGCGCTCGGGGCTTGGCTGCCCCGGGAGCAGCCCCCGAACCCACGCTGCGACTGATCTCCGCCCGGGACGGGGTGGGCGCAGGCCGCCGGCCGGGGCTCGGGACGGAACCGGGACGGACCCGGGACGGACGGGGGGCGCGGGGAGGCGGCGCGGCCCGTCGTTACCTGCCGGGCCGCTCGGCCCCGGGCCCCGCCGCGCTGTAGTAGGCCGCGCGCTTGCGGCTGGCCACGGCCGCTGCGCCTCGCACCGGGTACAGGGGGATCTGGTCCGCCATGTTCGGCCGCACCGGCCCGCTCCTCCCCGCGCCCGTCGATCCGCCGCCTTTCCCCGCCCTCTTCCGTCAACTCCAGCCCGGCTGAGGCGCCGGCCCGCTCTGCCCTTCCTTGATTGTCGGAGCCTGACGGCGTCACTGTGTGTCGGAGCCCGATGACGTCCCCGCGCGGCGCGGGCGCCAGCAGGAGGAGGTGACGCCCCGAGGCCCCGCCCGGGCGCTGGGCCGTGTGCGCGTGCGCCTGCGCCGCGGGCCGTCTTCCCGGAGCGCGTGGGCCGTGGGAGCCGTCCCTCGTGTCTGGAGCAGGCCGACTCCTCTCGGCCGGCGCGCGCCTGCCCCGAGGGCCGCAGTGAAAGCCCGGCTGGGCACCTGCCGGGCCCCTGCGCAGGGGCGGGCGCGTCTCCGCGCGCGGAGGCCGTCGGGGACCCCGCGCGACGCGGCCCTGCACCGCGGGACCCCGGCCGCGCGCCTGCCCGCGCTCTCAGCCGCAGGGGGCCCTGCACCCCGGACCCCGGCCGCGCGCCTGCCCGCGCTCTCAGCCGCAGGGGGCCCTGCACCCCGGACCCCGGCCGCGCGCCTGCCCGCGCTCTCAGCCGCAGGGGGCCCTGCACCCCGGACCCCGGCCGCCCGCCTGCCAGCGCTCTAGCCACAAGGGGCCCCGCGGCGCGCGCCCTCACAGCCACCCGGTGGAGGCCGCGCGCTGCCCTCGGGCTGGGGACGCCGCGATCGCGCCCGGGCGCGCGGAGAAGCCGAGGGCACGCGCTCCCGGCGCTCCGCGGCGGGTGAGTCGTGCTTGGGGCTCACAGCCGCCTGCAGGGCGTGCCGGGACTCGGACCCCTCTCCGGGTGGCCGAAGGGCCTCCCCGCTTCTCCCTCTGCTGGGAGCCGTGGAGGAGCCGCGCCCCCGAATGTGCGCTGTGTAACCTGCGCAGTCCCCCAAGCTGCTCCGCGTGCAGCACCATCCACGGCTGGACCCGAGGCTCTCCCGCTCCCGGCCTCGGACCTTCCTCACGTCCCGGAGACCCGTCCTGCCGTCCCCTCGGCGGTCTGTCCTGTCCCGCGTATCCCGCTCTTTTCCCGACCTCAGAGGGTGAAACAGTGTCCAGGGCTAATTCCATGGACTCCTTGCTCCGCCCGTACTTTGAGTTTCTGGTATCTTTAATTCCTCCTTCCGTCTCAGTCTATTCTACATGCAAATACGTTCAGGTTTTTCCTATACTTAAAAAATTCCCTGGATTTCATTATTCCCATAAATTGCCTCCAGAGAGTGGTCTAATAGTGAAGTCTTCAGAGAGTTCTCAATTTTGCTATTAGGTTGTTAGTTTATATTTAAATGTTGTTAATTTATAGGTTAGGAATTTGGTCTGAACTCTTTCCATATTTTAAACTTGAGGTTTTCTTCCTGGCCAAATATGTGGTCAGATTTAAGTGAATAGGTTTTATATTCCAAGATCCAAAATGCTAAAGGTCCGGTGATACTTCTGAAGTCCTCCTTCTACCCCGCCCCCAGGAGGCAGTCACTTTGATCCATGTTCCATGGGAGCTTGGGAAGAGGTGCAGTCTGTTTGGGAACACGACTTGCCATGCAGTCACTTCTCATGAGGACACTCACTCTAAAAGACCCCCAGCGCCCCCCATTCGTTCCAGGGAGCAGCCTGCCACAGAACACCTGCCACCCCTAACACCGAATAATCCGTCCTCTTGGAATGTCCCTAAACTGCTCATGTGCCCCCTCAGCCAACCAAGCAGTGTCAGAAGTACCTGAAGACCAATTGGAATGTCTTCTCCGCCTCCAAAAGTCTCACCTTAATAGAATGCTTGCCAGTCAGAGACGCTCAGGGTTTCCTCTTTTTACTCTGCAAAACTTAGTTCCTTTCTAAGGAAGGCCCTTGGACTGCTGAAAGAAAAGTGGCAGCAGGTGGTACCCTCACTGCAAGTTTATGAATAAACAAGCCTTTGTTAATTTTGTCTCGGATTTAGTTTTTTCTTTTGACAGTCTGACTCATTTATTTCAATGATTATATTTTTTACTTTGAAGATTTCTCATCTTTTTTTTTCTTATCCATCCATTCTTATTTCATTTCTGCCAGTTTTGTTTCATACTTTGGATTCCCTGGCATGAAAAATGTTCTGATTGCTGATTTGTTAACTGTCTTTCTTAGCATTAGATTTCTTCAAATGTCTTGAAATTTAGGTTTACAGGAACATTTGAAGTGGGAAAGAGATATTTGCTTTACCTCCCTTTCTCCCTTTCCACCTCCCCCTCTTTCTGTCCTCGCCTCTTGCTATTTAGCAAAGTCGCTGTTTCCACCCTCCTCCAGAACCCAGTCCCACCGTGGCATCTCAAGGCGCTCAGTAACAGGGTGGCCTGCCAGGTCTAGAGTCTGCAGGCAGCTGGATTCATTCTTGCTCTTCAGTTTGGGTCTACCTCTTCCTCCCTCTAGGCCCCTAGCCTGCTAAAAAGCCCGAGGCAGCTGTCAGCAACAGGGTTTTGTGGGTGGTTGGTTAGTTGGTAGGTTGTTGATTGGTTTGGTTGGTTCATTTAGCTTCCTACCCCAAGTAGGACAGCCTCACCCAAGCTCCTGGAGTGAGCCTGTCTCCCACTCGCATCACCTGCTTCCAGACCCAGAAGCCAGCAGACGAGCCATGCTCACCTCTCTGTTTTGGTCCAATAACTTTGCTGTTTTTGAGCCCTGCTATGTCTTTTTCATTTTCTGTTCTCATAATTTATATATTCATTATGGCTATGTGTTTGAAGCAATGGGTTCAACATGAACTTGTAGATTCTAGACTCAACTAAGTATCTTCATATATTACTTTTTCAGTTTAAAAAATTATTTGTTAAAAAATTAATACTTTTTTTTTTAAAGATTGGCACCTGAGCTAACAACTGTTGCCAAGCTTTTTTTTTTTTTTTTCCTTTTTCTCCCCAAATCCCCTCAATACATAGTTGGATATTTCAGTTGTGGATCCTTCTAGCTGTGGCATGTGGGATGCCACCTCAACAAGGCCTGATGAGCAGTGCCATGTCTGTGCCCAGGATCCAAACCGACGAAACCCTGGGCTGCCAAAGTGGAGCATGTGAACTTAACCGCTCGGCCACGGGGCCATCCCCCCAAAAATTAATATTCTTAAGTAGTTGCTCCCACTTTCTGGTTGCCAGTTTGCTACTTAGCTGGTTTTTATGTGGTTTAAATACAGTCCACTCCTTTGAGGACACTGCCCTCAAAGGATACAGTGACCTAATTGCTAAATGAACTTCACTCATCCTTTCCCTTACTCAGGCTCACTGCAGTAACTGACATTGTTACAGGAGGTGCTCAACCACACTCGACAGCTAACACTGTTACTGCCGGCTAGATAACCACCCTCAACAACTGACATTGTCACCACCAGCTAGATAACCACATTCAACAACCGACATTGTTACCACCAGCTAGATAACCACACTCAACAGCTGACATTGTCACCACCAGCTAGATAACCACATTCAACAACTGACATTGTTACCACCAGCTAGATAACCACATCCAACAAGCGATATTGTTACCACCAGCTAGATAACCACACTCAACAACTGACATTGTTACCACCAGCTAGATAACCACATCCAACAACCGACATTGTTACCACCAGCTAGATAACCACATTCAACAACTGATACTGTAACACAACTCCTCAAAGTCACTCAGCAACTGACATTGTAACATTAGCTCCTCATTTCACTCAACAGCTGACGTTGTAACATCAGGTCCTTGAATTTTTCCCTTCTGTGATAACTTCGAGACAAATCATGAGGCTCTACTCCTTTACGAACTACGCCTCTCTTCAATATTTCTCTTTCACAGCCTACTCACTTTAAGTAAAAAAACCCTCAAGTCTTTATTCCAAATTTTGACCTCTCCTGGCTCCATTTCTGCATTGTTAATTCGGTTTAGCAAAGATTCTTCATTCCAGTTTTGTGCCAAAGTGAGAGACAAGTATTGTGGGGATACGAATATAACTAAGACTTAGTGTCTGCTCCGTGGGAGGTCTTACCTGGGTAGGGAGACACATCTGCAAACTGCTGATGGTAACTTAGGACAGAAAGAAATTCTTGCCATGACATAAGTATAAAGTTCTGTCAGTTCGGATCATAGCAGGAACAAGATGGTACACGCAAGGCATTCAGCTGAAAAGTTTAAGAAAGGGATTGTTAGGGTCAGCCCCGGTGGCCTAGTGGTTAAGTTTGGCCCACTCTGCTTTGGTGGCCCGGGTTAAGTTTCTGGGCATGGACCTACACCACTCATCAGCATGGTCAGTGGCCATGCTGTGGTGGCAGCTCACATACAAAATAGAGGAAGATTGGCACAGATGTTAGTTCAGGGTGAATTTTCCTCAGGAAAAAAAAGAAAGGGACTGTTGTAGGTGGAATCAGAAAACCAAAGAGGTTTGATGGACTACCTGGGACAAGTGAGAGTGGAAACCGTTATTGCCCCCAGGCTCAAAGAGGCTGGCAGTAGGCAATAGCGCCACTGGAACCATCCTAGGAGGAGCCCTGGACACCAGCCCACCTGAAATGGCCAGGGCTACCAAGCAGGGGTCAGCACACTGGCTCACAGGTGAAATCAACCTGTCACCTGTTTGGTAAGGAAAGTTTTTGTGGAGCATGTCACACTAATTTGTTGACATATTATCTACAGCTGCTTTCCAGCTATGGTGGCAGCACTGAGTAGGTGCTACAAAGGTCATGTGACTGCAAAGCCTATTTACTATCTGGCCTTTACAGAGATTTTGCCAACACCCGATGCAGAGGACCACAGCCTCACTAATGCCTCGGGCGGGGGTGGCGGGTTTGCCCTGACAGCACAATTACAGAACCAAAGTCCTATTGAATAGCACTTCCCTAGAGCAATCACTAGACAAATAAGGAAAGAATGTTCCACTAGCAGGTTTATGGAGGGGGAAGTGGAATGATAAAAATTACTTTATTAGAGGCCGGTCCCGTGGCCGAGCCATTAAATTCACACACTCCACTTCAGTGGCCCAGGGTTTCACTGGTTTGGATCCTGGGTGTGGACCTAGCATTGCTCATCAAGCCATGCTGAGGCGGCATCCCACATAGCAGACCTAGAAGGACATACAA